AAAAAAAAAAAAAAAATAGAAGTTCATCCTACAGCTATACTCAGAGAAGTGCAATATTATTTATTTACAAGACTATTCACAGCAGAATTGCTAGTAATAGCAAAAACTGAGAAACATCTTGATTGTCCCAGGGTTAAGTGACCAGAGGTGCAGTCATACAGTGGAATATTATAAAGAATGAGAGGCACTAACATAGAGAGGTGTCCACCATATGCTGTTAAGTTTAAAGCAAGTTGCCAAATAACATGTGGATTATTCCATTAGGCAGTGTATTATCTTTATTATCATTATTTTTAGAGACAGAGTCTCATTCTGTTGCCCTCCGTAGAGTGCCGTGGCATCTTTAGAGACTTTGGGGGCTCAGCCTGCTTGTTACAACTAGATTACTCATTGTTTCTACGCCTTTTTTTTTTAGAGACAGAGTCTCACTTTATCACCCTCGGTAGAGTGCTGTGGTGTAACACAGCTCACAGCAACCTCCAACTCCTGGGCTTAGGTGATTCTCTTGCCTGAGCCTCCCAAGTAGCTGGGACCACAGGCGCCCACCACAATGCCCGGCTGTTTTTTTGTTGCATTTGGCTGTGGCCGGGTTTGAACCCGCCACCCTCGGTATATGGGGCCAGAACTCTACTCACTGAGCCACAGGCGCTGCCTGGGCCAAATCCTGTCTCTATTAATTCTTCTGTGTGACCTCTTAACCTGGAAGCCTAGTTCTCCCTCTGTGAAAGGGAGAACCCAATAGTCCCTGCCTCAGAATGAAATTAGGAGACAGAAGACACATAGAGCAGCATAGACTGTGGTCTCAGGGCAGGCCCAATGAATGAGAATGTATCTCCTCTCTCCTGACCTTTCTGACTGGGCCTATAAGGGTGGTAGGTGGCTGGGGGTGGGACTTGGGGTATACCTGGGGTCCTGGTTGAAGATGAACTGTGTTCCTTGACCATGGTGTACATCCCAATCCACAATAAGGACCCTGTGAGTAGGAGAGAAAGGGGACTCTGCAAGGGGATAAAGGTAAATATGGGGGAAGAGCCCAGACTAGGATACCACACCCCATACCATCCCATCACACCCGCCCTCTGCTGCTGACCTCTGGATGCCGTGCTTCTGTTGAGCATAGCGGGCAGCCAAAGCCACGTGGTTGAACATGCAGTACCCATCCATAAGACTATGCTGTGCATGGTGTCCAGGAGGCCTAGGCAGGACAGGGAAGGTTATTGACTGGGGGGAGAGTTCTTCTCTGCAGAGATAGACTCTCCCCTGCTCCCTAATCCTAGATTGCCAACTTCTCTAATGCTGATGCTTGCAAATATGGCAGGAACTGAGTAACTGGACCCTTCAAACTGCTCTGACCAATCTATTGCTTTCTCTCCAAAGGAGATTTGAAAATGTTCATTAAATTATCAATGCATACATTCTCATACTCAGGCACTGTACTGTGGGGACTTAGCCCACAAGCTATATAACAAAAAGAGTGAAATAACATGTTTATAATTGAACTACCAGGTTTGCTGCGACATTGTTTTTAAAATAGCAAGTGATTGGGAAGAACCAAAATGTCCGTTGGTAGGGGACTGGTTAACTTAGGTGCATTTACACAATAGCATTCTACCAGGGTCTAAGCTACATACTGTTAGAGAAAGCCTTCCAAGATATGTAAATATAAAAGTATGGTATGGAAGGGAGTGTGTCAAGTGCCACCATGTGTAGTTGAAAAGATGGGAGGGGAGATAAAAGCTATATCTTATGCATTTCATAAATTGTAGGATCCTAATGATGACAAGATGGACCACGATTTTACATGCCAACAACAAGGCAGAAAATGCTACCAATGAAATTCTGAGACATATTGTAAGATGCATCTGAATTTTAAGATGTTGCAGATATGAAAAAATGGACACCTGAGAGTCAATGATATGATATTTATGCCTTTTTTTTTTTTTT